GAAACATTTTGTGCTGCTAGGAAAGATATAAAAGAAACAGGCAGAAAAAGACTCTTCTCTTTCACAAGACACTACGTGTACATGTGTCCAAATAAAGATATTGTTTGTGATCCATTAATTGACTCTAAGAATCATAGAATAGTTAGGTTTGGAAAGGACCTTAAGACCATCTAGTTCCAACCCCCTGACGTGGGCAGGGACACCTCACAGTAAACCATGTCACCCAAGGCTTTGTCCAACCTTGCTCTGAACACCGCCGGGGTGGAGCATTCACAACCTCCCTGAACAATCCATTCCAGTGCCTCACCACCCTCACAGTAAAGAACTTCTTCCTTATATCCAATCTAAACTTACCCTGTGTAAGTTTGAACCCATTACCCCTTGTTCTGTCACTACAGTCCCCAATGAAGAGTCCCTCTCCAGCACCCTTATAGGCACCCTTCAGATACTGGAAGGCTGCTATGAGGTCTCCACACAGCCTTCTCTTCTCCAGGCTGAACAGACCCAACTTTCTCAGCCTGTCTTCATATGGGAGGTGCTCCAACCCCGTGATCATCCTCATGGGCCTCCTCTGGACTTGTCCCAACAGTTCTATGTCCTTTTTATGATGAGGGCACCAGAACTGCACACAATACTTCAAGTGAGGTCTCACGTGAGCAGAGTAGAGGGGCAGGATCACCTCCTTCGACCTGCTGGTCACGCTCCTTTTGATGCAGCCCAGGATACGGTTGGTTTTCTGGGCTGCGAGCACACACTGCTGGCTCATGTTAATTTTCTCATCAACCAACTTTCTTCTTCTTTTTCCTACCTTTTTTTTTTTCTTCTGAAAACTTAAATAATAATGAACCATAGTTTTAATCTTTTGTTGGACATGCAATACAGTAATTTGGTATTTCTTCAGTAACTAGCTCCTAATGCACAACATATCTGTCAGAGGGCTGGAGCACCTGCCCTACAAAGACAAGCTGAGATAGTTGCGGTTGTTCAGCCTGAAGAAGAGAAGGCTCTGGGGACACCTTATTGAGGCCTTTCAATACACTGAGGCACTTGTATGACAAACTGAGAGAGAAATTTTACCAAGGCCTAAAGTAACAGGACAAGGGGCAACAGTTTTAAACTGAAAGAGTATAGATTTAGGGTAGCTTTAGATTGGATATAAGAAAGAAAAAACAAACATTGTGTTGGGAGTTTTGGGTATTTTCTTTTTGGGGGATTTATTTGTTTTACACAATAAGGGTGATGAGACACTGGAACATGTTGACCAGAGAAATCGTGGATGACCCATCATAGGAAATGTTCAGTATCAAGTTGGGCAGGGCTTTGAGCAACTTCATCTAGTTAAAAGTCCCTGTTCATGGCAGGAGGACTGAACTACCCGATCTTTCAAAGGTACCTTCTAACCGAAACTATTCCATTTTAACCATTCTAGCTTAACTCCTTTTTTTTCTTATGCAGATTTTGTCAATGTTTCTGTACTCTACAGTGTGACCCTGAAGCATTTCCTGACTTCAGTTAATGGTGATGGAATTCTCATTCTACAGCTAGAGAATGAGACCAGTACACCCATAAGCCAGTCTGTTACTTAAGAAAATAAACACCCCCCCCAAAAAAAAAAAACAAATGTAAAACCCACATTAGGCATGTCTTAAATGGACTAACCCATTATGCAATGTGGCTGATAACATGGTTATGAGAAAAAGAATAACCTTGTCCTTGATCTGAATATCATTCACTACTTATCAACATATCCAATAACATGACCAGCTGTATCTTACCTACATAGAATTGTTCCTTTGCAAAAATAACGACATAAGACTAAACCAGCCAAGTCTAACTAGATACCTTACATTAAAAAAAAAATAATAAAATAATAACCTCAAAGTGGTATTCATTCTTTTCTCATGTAGAAGAAATCTTAACAAATTCCATAGGGAAACAGGAAATCCTAATTCACGGTAGGGAATATTTTTTTAAACAAAATGCATCAATAGTGATGGCAGGGCAAAATTTATCTGTATAATTACTGCTATGAAAGGCTGGACAACTCCGAAATGATCCTGTCCAATTCTATACATTCTCTAGCACTGAAGCAGATTTAGATACCCTGCATACTTGAATTCTGCTAACCCTAATAAGCGAGTTTTTTCATGCACTGATGTGAATCTTATCATCACATGGAGAGAGCTCCTTTGTAAGACTACTTCATAGCCAAACACAACATTGCTTTGCTAGTCTTTTTGTTTACCGCTCGGAAGGCAGAAATATTTCTGTTTCTCCAGCACTTACTATCAAGTAGCAAACACTGGCACAATTGCAACTGTCCCTCATAGTCATAGCATAGCTTATTTGTGAAAGCAAATGCTACTGCTGGAAACATGAGCTATGCTGAGTTACAAGCTATTCAGTGCATAAAATATACAGGGGAGAAGGGAAGGGTGTCCTGATTATTATGCAGGTAATAGTGAAAACTACTTCAACATCTAAGACTCAGAATGTTTAAAAAAAAAAAATATACATTTTAGAAGTAAAGTCAAATAGTGAAAAACTAGAAAGCTGCACACCAGGTATAAGATGCGCTCTCTCAGCAGAGAGGGAAGAATCTGTTGAGACCATTTAATCTGTTATAACCTCCATACAAGAATCAAAGCAGAAAACAACCTAACACACATATATGTTTTTATAATCTATCATTACAGCTTGTAATTACATACTTTGTACTACATGCTTTCCTATGTTGTTATCTTTGAAGTATATTAACACTTAATTATTGAATAGGTGTGCTACAATGCATAGCTAATCCAAGATTTCAAATGATAAAACATATAAATGCTGCAAGTGGCTACTGGAATATGCAAGTGCAACACATTTCAGGTTTGAATGACTGAGCAGCAAGATTGACAACCTGGCCTTTTGAGATCTCTCCCAGACACCTTTCTACAGCATTCTCAATTCCTTATTATAGGTATGACTATCAAAATAAGTTTTTGAAATTTTTTTCAAAGTATTTAATAAGATATAAGAAAAAACAAGAAGGTTTTTTAAAGGGGTATAATACTAAGTTGAAGAAAGTGTGGCTTGATTTAAGCAATTTCCAGAAAATTTTAACAAATCCTCTAAATGTTATAAAAATATTCTCTGTAAAATACAGTGCTGTGAAATTTTACAACTTCCAATTTTTATAATGGCTGGAACATGTTCAGAAGGCACCATTCCAGCCTAACTGATGTTATCCAAGATGGAATTTATTCTTATTCATTTAATGCTTAGAAGATGGCAGCACTGCCTTCTTATAAGCTGAGTTCCTGACAAAGCTGCATCTACACATAAAACTGCTAATAGAAGTTACATCCATAGCCATGAATACATCTATTATATCTAATAGATAGCAAAACTTTGTCAGATCCATTTTTAATACAGTAGCTTAGTCAAATGCAGGAAATGTTTCCTACTGGGTGGACTAGTTGTCTAGTCATATAAAAACAACTTTTGAACCCAAAACAGAAAGGCACTTTGGTGAAGCTAAACTCAGTTAATTAGACAACTTCAAACCACAGTCTGACAACTTTCTAAAAATAAGGCAACAGCAATATAAACACCAAGTTGAGTAAAAATAACTGTGTACCACATGGGTAGTCACAGATTATCCATTTATAAGCTAAAATGCTAACAAGACAACCTATAAAGGTGGTGAAATAATGGCTAATTTGCAGCCAGTTAATCTTGAAAGAGATATGCTTTGCTTCCATAGAGTTGTAGAAAAAGAAAGGGCCATAAAAATCCTTTGATCTGAACATCGAGCTCTTTACTCATCTCGTTTTTCAACACCCATCACCACACCTCATCCCTGCGTGTTGACAAATTTTTATAAGACAGTTAAGAAGAAAACCATTAGTAAAAACCTAACAGAATATATGAATATTAAAATTATATCAAACCTCCAACTTTTTGTTAACATGAGACTGTAAAACATTGAAGAGGTACTAAATTTTATCATCTGTGAGGAATTTAAATAGGATAACAAGTAGGTATTCTAACAATTCTTTTTCCTCCCTTGGTAAAAATTCTAGAATACCTCTTAGAAGAGGAAACCTGGGAAGCATAATTATACAGATATTTTATTCAGATACAGGCTGGTTTTCCTCAAAACTTTCACTACGGCTTATCACATTAATAGTGAGATGTAGATACAGTTTGAACAGAGGCAGTCCCATGCATCCTCAAAATTACTGAAATGTGTATCTAAGAGACATGGCACCAACCAGCGAAACCTTTGCATCTCTGATTCCCCCTAAATGGCTAAATCCGAATAGTGAGGCTCAGCACCTAAAGGACTTCTGGCAAGTATTTTCAATTATTTCCTTTGGCTTACACTTACCTTCTTAGAAAATTATGATCTTCCTTGTGGGTAACCAACAAGAAACATATGGTTCACCAAGCTATAGGTAAATTCTTACACCCATCCCAAGCAGACATGAGAAAACCAGAAGACGGTTCAGTTACTACAGTTGAAATATCGTGATAGCACACCTGGTTTAGCTTTGCTGAATCTAAAAGCATCTTCTTTTAAAAAAAAAATAAAATATTGCATTAGGCAAAAGGACATTTAACTAATGAGCTTCTCTGCAAGTGACTATTCACCCTATCACTGACCTCAGAGACCAAATACAACACAACAAGTCCCGTCTGCAGGGCATACCTCCACATGCTGTATTTGCCCAATCAGTTGACACCTTTCAGAAAGATCTGAATTCCCTGATAAAAAACACCTATTCCTCTCTTACAGCCCAGGAAGCTTTATCTTGCTCAAACAGTGACAGGCAGTTTTGTGCACTAGAGACTGATCCCTTGTAAGCTCTGAATCACAAGGCCGTCTAAACTCGTTATCCTGCTGACATTATCCGAAGCAAAACTTCTCCATAAAACAATTCTGTAATGTCAGAATAACTCAACAACTAGGGAAAAACAGCCTGACTTTGTAAATAACCACCATGACAGATAGCTAGGGAAGAGTAAAGAGAACAATGTACATTTAATTCCTTTTTTCCATACTCATCTGTGAAAGACAACAAATTGTCAGCTATTTCAGATGAGAGCTTGATACAGTTTGAGTCTTCTGAATAACACTCATTGAAAACAGAAGGATCACTTATGGAGAGTATCTTAAGGACAAAACAAAGGCAAAAACTCGTCAAAAAATTCTCAGGAAAACACTCTAACAGTAAGTTACAATTATTTCAACTCGAAACATCTTCCTCTCTGGAGACTTGCACATGTTGTAACTGGATAACAGTAATTCTTCATTATAACTAGAACTAGTAAACATAGCCTATTACTCATAAGATATTATACTTCATTCATTATTGCTAGGTTGTATGATAAAGCTAATCTGCACACCCACAAAGGAGCTCAGACACAGCAGCAGGAGCAGAAGCCCAAATAATACCCTGCTCAAGCTGCTCCCAGGCCCATCCCAGGAGCCACCAGCCCCTCCAAAGCTCAACTCCACAAGCCCAGAGGAACACAGGGATGCACAAACACAGGCCAGAACCCAAACTGAGGACACTCAAGGAACAAACACCTTCTCTGGGTCCCTCCCAGAGCTGTCTTAGCAGAGCCTCCACCTCACTGCCCAGGCATGAAACCCACAACAGAGTCAGCAGCAGCAGCTTTATAGATCACTTTCCAGACTAGAAAGGTTGCTGCCCAGGGGACACACTGTAGGAAGCAGGGGAAAAGCAGCCCAGGGTCACAGGTCTTATTATGGGATGTTTAGGGGAGGAACCTAAGACAGGAAAAGGCAAGAACTTGGATGATTTGTGTGGGAAAAAGAATGGGAAAATAGAGTGGTAAGGGGATGTAAAAACCTAGTCATATGTAAACAGCTGGCTGATCAGGACACTTATCTGGCCATGCCCTGTGCCTGAACTGTGTAACTGCCCTACCTTATTAAACTTTCTACCTCTGTCATGAGTGAGAAAACCATGTTGTGTGCACACACATGTATGGGGGCGTGAGTGCAGCATTTGGGGTTGGTAAGCCCATGTGTCTGTGGTGCCAGTGACAGAAGCAAGTATGGGTACTTGAGCAAAGTTGTGATCATTAACAAAGATCAACCCAGATTATCTGTGAGCGGATGAAGTGACCTGAGAACAAGGAGATAAGGGCAGCTTTTAGGTGTGAGACCACCTGTGTGTCTCTAGAAGCAAAAGCAGTGGGGAGTCAGCTCTGGAACCAGGGGAGTCCTGTCCAGCTGAGAGCAGGGGAAAGATGTGTGTGCACATGTGTACACACATCAGCAGTCTGTACCAGCAATTGGAATAGAGCTGAAGCTTCAGGAGGCTTGCATGTCTAGGTCCCAGCAATCAGCAAGACTGGGATCCAGGGACAGTTACTGGAAAAACTGAGCAGACCCAGCTGCTGGAGGGATCCTGTAGATACCCATACACATATGCTCTCACCAATGGACTTCCATCCTGTACAGCAAGAAAGGGAAGAAGGAAGAGACCATTAGAGCTCTGACCCTTTGCCTGACCTGTGTGGCTGACCATGGATATATAATGTATGCTCTATGTGTGCATGCCTGTAGGAGTACTTCTTCATCCTCACTCCTAGCTGAACCTGGCAATGTGGATCTGCAGCAGCCTCACCTCTCAGGCTGTTGGATCCTGCATGAAATGTTTTCCTCTAACAGTTCTCAGTTTCTCTCTTTGTGATTACGACATACCTCATTAACTTAATGATAAAAATTCGGGTGCTTTGTCAAAGTCCATCACATTTAGAAATCTGAAGGAAAATACTATGCCATCGTACAGAACTTGCATTAAATCCCAAGGATTGTTGGATCCCACCACCAGAAAGAAAGCACTGAAGTTATTCCTTTTTCAGAAAAACACTGCTCAGTGCACATTATGCTAAAGGTATGATGTGCACTTTGGCTAGTAACATGCCGAGTTAATTTTGGTTTACTCTTTTACTTTGCAGACCACAGACATCATTTCTTTAACAATAAAATGACATACTCTCACACTTTAATATACTTGCAATATTAAAGTACAGACATCTGTTCTCAGTTAGCCTGAAGATTACTCAATTTAAAAGTAGCAATTTCTAGTGAAACAAAGTTTTCATTACTTAATACAAGGACAAATACATTATTAGGTAAAAAAATATCTGAAAGCATGAGCAGGTTGGGAAGTTTTTACCATCTAGCATCATAGACTACAACAGTATATACCAGAAGAAATTCATCCTAATATGACTGCCAAATAAAGGGAAAAGGAAACACTGTTATCCCGAAGTCAGGGATTTTTCCCAAGATTTTGTCCAGAGTGAAAAGGCAAAGCATTTCTGCTCTGAAGAGCCAATTAATTTTAAGATATCCATATGTGGCACTTCATAAAAGTACACAACATCCTTATCAAGATAACATGCAATGTTAACTTGATTCCCTAGGTTTTGTGTATGTGCTCTCACCTGAGAAAGCATGAGTAAGTAGCTCAATAGACAAGGGATTAGAAGAATACTACATAATAGAAGCAACTTTTTACTGTGTACATTTACAACAGTATCTGGCATGAGGGAAGTGAGATGCTAGTTGTGGCTTGAAGACTTTGCTCTAGTTCTAACAACATTAACAGTCTTGAAGGTCTGAACTTTCAGCTACTTATTGCTACTTTTAGCTTTGAGTTCCAAAATTATTTCATCCTAACTGAAAATACTGACATCTTTCCAGGATCATTCTCCACCTTTCAAATAATATTCAGCAAATAATGTATAAAGATTTATACCAATTAATAAAGGGCTAAGATGTGCCAAAACTGTTCTTTGCCATGCATCATAATGTTGTGAGTAGATCTTGTTTTAGCTACTGAACAACATACTACTGATGTAAGAATACTTTATGTTTACTGATGTAGATGCTTATGTCAGCAGAAATACCACAGACAGAGCTACATGAAAGGAGTAGTAAAGTAAAGTATTTCTAGCAATTTCTAGTATTAGCTACAAGAGATTAAAGATGCTCTTTAGTAGTACCTAGAGCACCTTTGCTTCCATCATTGTTCAGTAGCATGGGAAATAAAGATTCCTATGTTAGCTACATCTATAATCATATGTGTAAGTAGACATGGAATAGTCTCAAATGTTCAAGCCACTGTGAAGAAGTGATATGAATCCTTCCTAATAATATTTTTTTTGCTTCACTATAAGATAATGATGGAAGACTGCTTATCCGATATCTTCAAATGGTCCCTGAAACATTCTTGTTGCTGACCTGTGCATCAGAAGTGTTTGGAGGAACAGTGAGAACAGGCTTTAAGCCTAATGGATGGTTTGGTATGTCACATCCCTGTGTCCCCCAAACCTCTTCCTTCCCTCCCCCCAACAACAGAGGTAATTTTGTTCCAGAACTGAGGAAATTTCCAGGGCACTGTTATAAGCTACTATTGTAGACATCATCTTAGTGTTAAGATGAATAGCAACAGGGAATGATCAAGACCACCTCCAAATGCTTTCTGGGTTGCAGCAAGAGCAGGTATTTCTTCAGGATGACCTTTAGGATAAGACTTAGTTGCCTTCAGGATAGGGAAGCTAGGGTGGGGTAGGGGTGGGATTGCTGCCCCTAGGGACTCCCAGACCCCAGTGAGTGATAATTCAATACTTTGGGAGATAGAGAGTGTTCTCCCTACCTCTGGCCCTTCCAAAAGGGTTCCTAGAACTTAACTATTAATAGATACATACAGATGGATGGATGAAGGTGCTCTAACCAGAGATGAAATACAATACAGGCAGCAAGTAGTCTCAACAAATCTAACAATAAAGCAGAAGAAAAAAACTATAAAAAAAAAAACAAACTATAAAAAAATTCAGAACTCCACAAAATTTTTAGATGCATGCCTGTACACTCAGAAGGCCTTCTAATAGCAATAACTATTTATACACCAAGTAGCAATAGATTTCCCTGCTTCTATTGACCTATTTTAGAATGAATTCCTGACTTGAAAGGACTTGCACACTATATTATCAGTGAGCAGCAGCAGACGCTGTATATACAGGAGCCTCTCAGATATGCTGCTGTGTTCAACGTACAAATTCCTGCTGATGCTGCTTCCATTGTTATCAGGCGTGCTGGTACTGTCTGGGATAGAATTGTTTTTTTCCTTAGTAGCTAGTACAGAGCTGAATTTTGGATTTCTGCTGAAAACAGTGTTGATAAACGTTTTAGTTATTGCTGAGCAGTGCTTACACAGAGTCAAGGCCTTTACTGCTGCTCACACCACCCTTTAGTGAGTAGGCTGGTGGTGCACAAGAAGTTGGGACACAGCCAGGACAGCTGACTCAACTTACCAGAATGCTATTCCACACCACAGAATGTTTCACACAGCAAATAAAGCCGGGGGGAAGAAGGAGGAAGGCGAAGGGGGCTGTTCACAGTGATGACATTTGTCTACCCAAGTAACCAGGACACGTGATGCAGCCCTGATTTCCTGGAAATGACTGAACACCTGCCTGCTGATGAGCAATGGGGAATGAATTCCTTGTTTTGCCTTGCTGGCAACACACAGCTTTTGCTTTCCCTATTAAATTGTCTTTATCTCAACCCACCAGTTTTCTCACTTTTACCCTTATATGTCTCCCCCCCCCAATCCCACTGGGTAGGGAAAGAAGTGAGCAAGCGGCTATGTGGTGTTCAGTTGCCAGCTGGTGTTAAACTACAACAACGGGCATGACAATTTCCTATTTTTACAGTAGCTAATTACAGTCCAGCCCAGTGATTCTGAAACATGGCCAACTGAATCTTGGCATTTGGTTCAGTCATAACCTTGCTGCCAGTGTGCACCACTGGACTGGGATTCATCTAATAAAACATTTATCTGAAATGTTTCAGATGGCCCATAACACTTTCTGAAAAAATAGAGCTTTTTTTTTTTTTTCTTTATATTCAGTCCTTCAGAGATTTCTTGAAGCATGGGAGCTTCTTACCAGTTCTTTTCCCGTTAGTTCTCTCTCAATTAAATTGCTTGTTCGACTGAGCTTCTTTGTGTATTTTGATAGAGAAGCATTTGCTCTTTGTAAATTTTTTCAAATAATTTTATCTGTACGTTGGCAGGAACGCATCTTGAGAAAAGCAGGGGAGCGAAAAATCCACTTCCCTGGTGAACAGTTTTTTACATATGCTCTAATAAATGAAGCAACAGTCATTCCTTTTATATGTTAACAAACCAAATACACTTCCAGGAGAAAGTATTACTGTGGTCACATTTTTTAGCAGGGCCTTTAGCAACAGAACAAGGGGTAATGGTTTTAATCTAAAACAGGATAAATTCAGATAAGATATAAGCAAGAATTTTTTTTATTATGAGGGTGGCGAAACACTGGCACAGGTTGCCCAGATGGTAGATGCCCTATATCTGGAAACATTAAGCATCAGGTTGGACAGGGCTCTGAGCAATCTGCTCTAGTTGGAGATGTTCCTGCTTATTGTAGGGGGTGGGACAAGATTATCTTTAAAGGTCCCTTCCAAACACAGCATTCTATGATTCTTTGACTTTCAATACAGTGATTTGATTTGAGCAGATTGCTGTTAATTCACTTCCATAGTTTCTTAAACTTTTGTATGTAGTTTGAAGTACATGCTCATAGCTAAAACTGTTATTTACGAAGAGCAGAAAGTGATACTAGAAACCACTGATAAACATCCAGTTTGCTTTTTAGTTAAACCCATATCTTACTCTATTAATGCTGCAAGGGTCCCGCAGTTAATGTGAAACTAGTATGTTTCTGTAGATCTCAAATAGACTTTGGGACACGGTCATTTGTTGTCCTCAGTTGCCGCAATGGGAGATGCAACTGCTTCTTCCCATATTCATCTCTAGCATACACAGCCATCCCACACTTCCCAAGCATTTTAGAATTCATTGCGAGTTTACTTCCACAGCGATATTGCATATTCTCTCACAATGGGAAGAATAGTATTTTCTCTACTAAACAGATTGGAAACCAAGATACTAGAGAGCCAAACAGCTTACCCAGCTGGGAAATTTGGGGCACAGAAAGGAATTAAGTCTAGGTGCTTAACCTAGGTTTCTAGCTAACATATTATATAATGAATATTAATGAAGTACACAAGACCCCAAATGGTACAACAAATGAAGTATTTTCATAAATCTGATGTTTGGGTGTTTTCAGTAACACAACCTAACATTTTAAAAGAGATGGGTCAGAAAGTTAAGATTATCATACTTCAAAGAAGAGCGAGTTACCATGCCAGAAGTCTGAGTTCAGACACAGTAGACAAGGATGCTGGAAGTATTGCTAGGTCCTTCACTCTGGTCACCCTATAGGACAATGCCACAGTGAGTCCAAACATAGTAATTCTTGTTAAACTTTAAACTGGACCTCATTAGAGAGAAAAAAAACCAAACAAACAAACAAACAAAAAAAACCCACATCTGTGTAAACATTTCAATGCCTTGATTTTTCTCTGCTGAATTTTTCCACAAGCCTGGCACACATTTCCAAGCTTTAAATTGTAATGTCTCATACTTTTATCACACCAGGGAATACAGAACATAGTAGAAGAATAAATAGCTTAGAAGAACACCGTGATTTATTACACAGAAATCATTAATGAAGTAAGAGACAAAAAATATATTAAAGGATAAACATAATAAAAAGAATAATATCATTTCCAGAACAAGTAAATTTGGTATTTTTGTGAAAAAAAAAACAACAACAAAACAACCAATCAAAAAACCTTCAAAACACCAAAATCAAAACAAAATAAATTACAATTTAAGAATGTTTTTTGCCTCTAAAGAGATTATTGCAGTCCAGACACGTTACTGACAACATATGCAAACAGTATGCTACTATAACGGTTTAGTATACATTTCTATCTTTGTACGAGATTTAAAACCAAAGTTTTATAGGAGGATTTGAAAAGCTAGTTACAGATATTCTGCAAGAGAATACTGTAAACAAATACTTTTGTATTAATAACACACTCCCCAAAGCCCTGAAAAGTAGCAAACACAAGCTATTACAAACACCTTCGAACCAGAATTATGGCCATGGCAATCTCAGCCTCTTATGACACAGAGTATTGGGGAGAAATAACAGCTATGGGAGAAGAACTCATTGCTGGAGAGTGAGTTGAGCTTTTACAAGCTGCAAACTAATCAGAGTAATTCCCAGACAACATGCTGTGATATTTGCATTGTCTGCTGGTTATTATGATTTATTGGTAAAGTGTGACATGGA